TGAGAATATTTTAGCCAGGCACAAATCAAGTTATGCGACTCATAGATATGAATCATGCTAAAAAGGACATTTTTACTGAAAACTATGCACTTTACCAAGTTAAAGATTCATTACTTCGATTAGTGTAAAATCATAAGATACAATTATAATTAACATATTGATCATCATTTAATAATTGAAACAAACCATAAATACCCTTAAAGCATCCTTATGCAATGTATGAAGAAGATCCAATAATCCTACCCACACTAAGGAAAGCTTATTAAGTAATTATAGTTCATAACTCAAATTCTAGTTCATATTATCATAGTGGTATTAGAAGCAACGACACAGATTATGAGAGTTTAATTATGGAACTTGGTGTCTACCTCACATTGAAAAGGGTTTTTCTTACTTGCCTAAGGTAAAATCAAACTCTTAGCTTAAGTGGATCCACTAGCTAAAGACCTATGTGGGCATTGATAGTAGGCCTATTTTTATGCCTAGAAATCTAATAATGACCATATTTCTCGTACTTTTTGGTGATTCCCCATGGATCATAGGACGAGCGATTTCTTGTTCTTCATTTTCTTTCATTTGTATTAGACTTTCAGATTTCTAATGGAAGGGTTGTGACCCTATTTGAGACTTCAAAAATTATAATAGATTGCTAAATGAGACAATGTCTAGACTTCATCTTACTTTTATGAAAACATCTTAAGCCTTGAACTGTGTTTTTCCTCTTTACTGTTCTTTACTTATATTATGATATGCTAAGTGGGGTGTTATGTGTCCTGCGTCTATGGGGGTACCCTTGGGTCGTGATAAACTAGGTAATAAGAGCAAAAGGTGTAGCATGATTCTAGGATGATGTCTCAATCCATGTCTATTAGATTCTTATTCATGAGTGTAATGCATGCCATATTTGTGAATAAGAGGCTATAAGATGTTAGGAAATCTCACTTCTTTCATTAATCTTATGTCGTACCATAGAGTTTAACTCTGCAAGGACTTTCTTCTAATCCTTCTCTTGTTTATTCAAGAAATGAATACACAAAGGACTAATAGAAAAAGAGTGGAAGCACGGCCAAAAAAAGAAAGAGCTTCGCTCGGTTGGGAGAGGAGAATGTGAATCAAGGAGTTCCTCAAGGTAATTAAGCTCCTTAAGATAACCAAGGCCAGACTAATCCTCCAGCTAACATATGTGGAGGTTAGGTCAACCCTTGAAACATTGGCTCAAGCTATGGCTGTCCAAGACTATATAGATGTTGGGACTCATGTGAACCCTAATGTGAATACAACGACTTCAAAATTTAGGTATTTTACAAGAATGAACCTCCTCTGCTCTTTGGTTCCAAAGTGGGCGAAGATCCTGAAGAATTTGTGGAAGAGGTTTACAAGATCATTGATGCCATAAGGGTGACTTTGGTAGAGAAAATGGAGCTATACGCTTACCAATTGAAGGGTTTGTACCAAGTATTGTATCCTCAATGGAAGAGGAATAGGCTGGTAGGAGTGGGCCTCATAGATTGGTAGGTGTGCAAGAAGGCATTCATTGATAGGTTCTTTGCCTAAAAGATGACAGAAGCTAATATGGAGGAATTTATCATCCTTCGACAATGAGATATGAGTTTTCAAGAATATTCTCTAAAATTTAGCAAATTTTCCAGGTATGCTCCGATAATGGTGGCAGAAAAGGGATAAGATGAGTAGATATGCGAGGGGTGTATCCAAAGTAGAAAGACAAGAATGTTGTACAACAATGCTCCTTCATGACATGTATATATCACATATTATGGTGTATTCCCAACAAATGAAGGACGAGAAACTCCAAGGCTACAATAGGTAGGTAAAAAGAGCTAGAACTGTTGATGGAAATTTCTCTAATGCTTAAGTCCAATGAACAAGGTCGACAAAGGTTTAATCAAAGATTCTCCAACCAAGGATCCTCTAGTACTCAAAGGGTCGACAAGGTTAGGGTTTCCAACCCTAAACCTCAAGGAGGTAATAGTGGTGGTTCGTATGTTTCTAGTCCTAATTGTGCAAAATGTGGTAGAAACCATTAAAGCAAATACGGTTGGCTCGGATTGGTACCAAAGGTGTGGAAAGAGTGGTCATACAATGATATATTATCCTATGATAAAAGTCAAGGGTAGAAAATATAAGAAATCTCCTCCAAGCAATTCCAACTCCAATTCTCAAAAGCAAAACAACTTTTATGCCCTTCAATCCCGAGGTAACTAAGATAGCTCCCCGGATATGGTGACCGATATGTTTCAAGTCTTTTCTAATGTATATGCTTTTTTAGATCCTGGGGACACTTTGACATTTGTTACACCTTTTTTATCCATGAAGTTTGAAATACTCCTCAAAGTTTTAGTAGAGCCTTTTTTGGCTTGTACCATGGTTGGTGACTCGCTAATGGTAAAAAGAGTCTATAGATGTTGTCATATTTCTTTATTTCACAAAGTTACTTTGGTGGATTTGGTAGAGTTAATAATGCTAGATTTTAATGTGCTTTAGGTATGGATTGGTTAAATGAATATGCCTCTATAAATTGTAGGACCTGGGTAGTCAAGTTCTAATTCCCAAATGAGCCCATTTTAGAGTGGAAAGAGGGAAATTATATCCCTAGAGGTCAATATGTTTCTTGCCTCAAATCTTGGAAAATGATATAAAAAAGGTGTATTTACCACTTTTTGGGATGATGGATGTTGAGACTAAAGCTTTTTCTCTAGAGTCGGTCCTCGTAGAGAATGAATTTTCGGAAGTGTCTTTTCTGATGACTTGCCCAAGATTCTTGTCGAGCAGGAAATAGATTTTGGCATTGTTCTTTTGCTGTACACGCATCCAATATCCATTCCTCCTTATGGAATGATTCCAACAAGTTAAAAGAGGTGAAGGAACAATTAAGGGATTTGCTAGAAAAAAAGGGTTTATTCGTCCCAGGATATCTCTTTCAGGTGCTCCTGTGTTGTTTGTTAGGGAAAAAGATGAATCTCTTAGAATGTGTATTGATTATCGTCGATTGAACAAAGTTACCATTAAGAAGAAATATCCCATTTTGAGAATTGATGACTTGTTTAATTAACTTCAAGGGGCTAGCTATTTCTCCATAATTGATTTTGATTCGTGTTATCACCAACTAAGGGTGAGAGGGTTGATATTCCAAAGATGGCCATTAGGACCTGGTATGGTCATTCTAAATTTTTTGTTATGTCATTTGGGTTGCCAATGCCCTGACAATATTTATGGGTTTAATGAATAGGGTGTTTAGACAATACCTTGATACGTTTGTGGTAGTGTTTATTGATGATATCTTGATATATTCAAGGAGTATGAATGAATATGTTGACCATTTGAGAATTGTATTGCAAGTTCTTAAGACCAACAACTTTTTGTAAAGTTTAGCAAGCACAAATTTTTGTTGAGTCCGTAGCTTTCCTTGGTCAAATTCTATGAAGAAAGGGTATTGAGGTAGATTTTAAGAAGAGGATGTGGTCAAGATTTTGCCTATACCTTTATATCCTTCTTACATTAGAAGCTTTTTGGGTTTGGCTGATTATTATTGGAGGTTTTTAGGGTTTTTCGTCCATTTTTTCTCCATTGACAGCTTTGACTAAAAAAAGGGCTAAATTTGGGTAGTCGGAGGCTTGTGAGAAAAGCATCCAAGAATTGAAAGATAGACTTATTTTTGCTCCGGTGTTGACCTTACCAGAGGGTACCGATGGTTTTGTTGTATATTTTGATGCCTCTAGAGTGGGGTTGGGATGTGTGCTCATGCAATATGGTAAGGTAATTTCCTATGCTTCGAGGAAACTTAAGGTTCATGAGAAGAATTATCCGACCCATGATCTTGGATTAGCAGCGGTAGTATTTGCTTTGAAGATATGGAGACATTACTTTTATGGGGTCCATGTTGATGTTTTCACCCATCACAAAAGTCTTCACTATGTGTTTAGTAAAAAGGACTTGAATCTTTGATAAAGAAAGTGGTTAGAACTTTTGAAGGATTATGATATTAGTGTTCTTTACCACACCGACAAAGCTAATGTTGTTATAGATGAACTTAATAGATTGTCCATGGGTAGTGTGGATCATGTAGAGATGAAAAGAATGAATTGATTCATGAGGTACGTAGATTTGCCTGGTTAGGTGTCCAACTATTAGATTTTTCTAAGGATAATTTCATGATTCACAATTGCTTTGAATCGTCCTTTGTGATACATTCGAAGTCTAAACAAGGCACTTATCCTATATTAGTTGAGTTGTAAGAATCGGTATCAAGAATAATGTTGAGGCTTTCTCCCTAGGGGAGATGTGGTACTTAGGTACCAAGGTCTATTATGTGTTCAAAATATGGATGGGTTACGAGAGCAAATTTTAGAAGAGGCTCATGATTTAAGATATTCTATTTATCCGGGAGCGACGGGATGTACTGTGATCTATAGGAGTCTATTAGTGGAATGGTATCAAAAATGATATTGTGGAATTAGTAACAAAATATCCTAATTTTCAACAAGTTAAGGTTGAGCAATTAAGGTCGGGAGCCTTTTTGCAATACATACCAATTCACACTTGGAAGTGGGAAGAGGTGAATTATGGATTTCATCGTGGGTTTGCCTCATACTCGAAGGTAACATGATTCTATTTGGGTCATTGTTGATAGGATGAAAAAATTAGCTCATTTTATTACCGTTAAGTTATCTCATTTGGTGGAAGACTATGCCACGTTATATATAAGGGAGACAGTGAAGTTCAATGGAGTTCCTCTACCTATTATTTCAGATCGGGGTACCCAATTTACATTTCACTTTTGAAAGTCATTCCAAAAATGTCTTGGTAACAAGGTGAATCTTAGCAACGCTTTCCACCTTCATATGGATGGTCAAGCAGAACACACTACTCAAACTTTAGAGGACATGTTGAGGGTGTGTGTCACAGATTTTAAAGGTAATTGGGATGAACACTTTCCATTAATAGAGTTTTCCTACAATATTAGTCACAACTCAAGTATCGGTATGTCTCCTTTTGTAGCTTCACGTGGTAGGAGATGTAGGTCTTCGGTTGGTTTGTTCAAGGTAGATGATATTGATCTTATTGGTCCCGAGTTGGTTTATGAAGCTATTGAGAAAGTCTCTCTCATTAGGGAGAGGTTGAGGATGACTCAAAGTAGGCAAAAGTCTTATGTTGATTCAAGGAGAAGGGACCTAGAATTTGAAGTTAGTGATAGGGTCTATTTGAAAATCTCTCCTATGAAGGGTGTTATGATATTCGGCAAAAAGCAGAAACTTATTCCCCGGTATGTCGGCCCATATCAAATTTTGAAGCACATTGAAAAAGTTTCATATGAGTTGGAATTGCTAAATGAGTTGGCCCCGGTTCACCCGGTATTTCATGTTCCTATGCTTAAAAAGTGTATTGTGGACCCGGTGTCCATTATTCCTCTAAAAGGGTTAGGAGTTGATGAAACCCTTTCCTATGAAGAGGTTCCAGTAGAGATCAATGACCAAAAAGTCAAGAGATTGATAAATAATGAAGTAGATCCTGTGACTGTTTTATTGAGAAATTAGTTAGTTGAGGGTTCTACTTGGGAAGTCGAGGCCGATATGAAGTCCCGATATCCTCATCTCTTTCCTTCTACTCCTAATCATGATTGAGGTAAGTAGTACTCTTGAGTTTTAGTGTTTTGGGATTCATGTGTCTTATATGAGTTTTTTTGATGATTTCCTTATGTTATGCATGATCATCACGATTGGAATCTAGACCCCACACATGATTTCCTTATGTAATACATGTTTGTCAGGATCGGAATCTAGACCGCAGATGAGACTGGCGTCGTTGACCTCTCAGAGTTCACAAACAAGCCTACATACGTCTTCCTTACTTCATCTAGGTTAATTTTTTTGCGTAAAATTTGAAATTTTTATTTCTTAACATACATGTATACATACTACTTAAAATAATAGGCGCTCACAAATCTACCATCTAATAAAGAGATAATAAAATGAAAGAATTAGTTCATAATTTTAGTAAACGTAGTTTTGCCGAAACAACACCAATACAAAGTCTAAACAAAAGTGGAAAGAAAATACTAATGGAACATGCTCCACTAGCTATAGCCTGCATATAAGCTAGATAATAATGGTAGATATCATCGAAAGCATGAGATCCAACAAAGTCCTGATGAAAGCCCCACATCCGAATAGCTGCAGCGTCAACCTGTGCCTGCACCTAAAATTGTAGAATTGTATGGGATTAGTACACACTTGTACTAGCTATGGGTATATGGAAGCACACACCAAGTTTATGCATGATTAAGAACAATTCTTTCCTAAAAACATGATTATGGAAAGTCAAGTCAATGGACTTGCCAAAATGGGATTATGAAAGTTAGTGAGCTTTCCAAATTTGGATTAGGAAAGTCATGCCATGAGATTAACATGCATCATTAAACTTATTATATTGCGCACAACACATAAAAACTGGCACATAACATATTGCATATAGCACATAAAATCTTTCATAACATTCATTCATATGCCATGAGACCTTGGAATCATGGTCTTGACATTAAGACCTGCCCAAAATGAGGGCTCAACATATGGGACCTCAATTAGAGAGACTTCTTTAGCAAACACAGAGTCTTCTTCATTCATTCATACGTACTTTACTTCATTTTGTTCATAGGCTAGAGTGAACACTAGTTATACCTAGGATGTAGTTTAAGACTTTCATCGGGTTCGCTGTGAAATGATCAAGAATGACCTAGTGTCATTACTTAGGTATACCTCACCTCTTTATTATCCTATCCTAACACCTTTGGTATCATTCATTTCATTGTGTACATCATTAGAAGCTGGCCTTATTCATTCATGGGTAACTTTAACTTTAACTGACATAGATCATGTGAGAATCATGAAATCCAGTGTCTCTCCCACATCGAAAAGAGGTGGAATCACCAGTCAAAGTGACCCAAAACATGCTAGCGTACATGGGAATTGAACCACGCCAGATCCCTATATTGGCAGTATAGGTTCGAACACTAGGAGATATAAGGAGACCAATACCCCGCATTTCAGACAACCTTATCTCATGAGAGTTACGTGAACCTCCGGCCTTCTCGAACGAAGTCATCACTGCTCATAGCTAGTCTATCGATGCTCTGTATAAAGTTCCATTACATTTTTCTCATACGTCATGGAAGTTGGCTTCTAGTATGAGGACATCATAACTCAATAGATGATTTCTCATCTCATTATTAGTATTAAGTGTATATTAATCTCAATACTTTCATTAGAGTGTTCATAGAGACTGGTCTCTTCATTAAATTTACACTCTCATAGGTGAGTACGTTTTGGTAACATTTACTTAAGCTCATATGAGATTGCTCTCATCTTTTACACTAGCCTCTTATCATGTTGTCACCACATTACTTAACTTTAGCACATTTGCTCTTAATAATTACTCACCCCTTATTACATGAATGTTCATTTCATCATATGTCAATGCACTTGGCCATTTAGTGTGTTTCTTACTCTTACTTAACCCTCCAAGGGTTTCATCATTTCATTGTTCATTTCATCATATGCCAACATACTTGGCCTTTTGGTGTGTTTCACACTCTACCTTATCCCTTCTAGGGTTTCATCATTTCATTACATATATCTTAGGTTCACTTACTTTTAAATGTATGCTAGACTTATGGGTCTATACATACAATCCCTGAGACTTCATTCATAGTTCGTTAAAGTGATTCATATCTTTCTAAGATTATGTGGTACAAGACTTATGCATCTTGTATATATGCCAACATCTCGGTTTTGATCTAAGTAGGCAGCATTATTTTTGGACATTTAATTTACGTATGGTTTATGTATCAATACAGAATTTAGACAAGGGAACTCGATTTCAAATCCCTTGGACAACACTTACATTTTTATTTATTTTGGTTTGATCCACACAACTTGGGGAGCAAAGGTCGAGCCTCAAAGGCTTCATTTCATTTTCCCCTTGATTTCTCCCTTTATTTTTTTGTTCATTGGGACCGAGAGAATGTGGGATCAAACCCCCACAACCTCATTGTCTTCTTATTTCCTTCTCTTTAATTTCTCTGCTCTTGGCCGAGGGGGTGTGGGTTTGAACCCCCACAAACCCACTTTAATTTTTTCTCCTTAATTTCCCTGGGTTCTGCCTAGAAGTCATCGGTTCGATTCCCACACGCCTCAACCTTTTTTTTTATTCTAATTTTAATCTGATTAGAAGTGGTGGGTTTGAATCCCACTCCTCTCGTTTCTTATTTTTTTTAATTTTCGGATCAAGGCATATGGGTTCGAATCCCACATGCCACATTCCCTTTTTCTCACATTATTTTAATGATTTTTAACATAGTGAGGTCACGGGTTCGATTCTCAGTGGCCTCACATATTTTGATTCATTTTTACATAGCATGATAATCCCCTTAGCTTGGACGAAACTCATCAACAAGATGCTAGAAATTCCTACAGCCTAGTTTCTCACATCTTTCACATTAAATGCTTAGACATTTGAGGTAGTTTTTAGTGATTTCTTTAGGTGCATTTTCATGGATTCATTTGACTATTAGTTTGCACTCAAATCAGCATCTTTACATCACATAAGAACATCACGATTTAAGCAAGTTTGTGCACATGAAATACAACCATAAATATGTCATTTTTCGAACTTGAATCCAAGAGTGTATATCACGGCTACACATTGCACACACCTCATTTTTCACCTAATTTCAGAGAACAATCTCAATATTCACATAATTCCGAACATACATACATAAACATAATCATCACAAAAACACATTACATCCCTAATTTATACCATCTAACATACCCAACCTATGATTCTATGGGAGCTAGTGACAGGGACATGCAACGGGAAACAACCCTAGTTTTCGGAATAGATTCGTATGAACCTTAGGGGTCTCTTGGGAAAGGGACCAAGAGAGAAGAGAACCCATACCTTTTTGAAGTTCAAACCTCGACTTTTTGCCTAACATTTTTGATTAACTTGTTTGTGTATATTTTTCATCTAACTTCTTGAAGTGTGAAGAACTTTAGTAATTTTTCTGTTCTTGTAGTTTTTTAGGCAGAGAGAACGTGAATGAGAGAAGAGAGAATGATCGTGTGTTGTGAGATAGACGTGAGTAAGGAGAGTTTTCTTAGGATTAGGATTTTAGGACTTAGTCAAATAAGGTTTAGTTAAATGGTAAAATCTTATTTCCTTTTTATTTTAAATCAACCAATAAATATTATTTAATTAAATTAATTATCAATTAAAATGAAAACAATTTAAATCATTGCTTCCACCTAGGTATGAACCAGGGTGGAGCAAGACTACACTTCAAAGGCAAATTTTCGGCCCTCTCTCTCATAAATACCCCTCCACCTTATTAATGAAATAATTTATTACATATTTAGGGTAATTACGATACTACCCTTAGCCTGAAAAAAGACCATTCTACCCCTAGACCCTCTAAACTTAAGATTACCCATTTTAAATCCGGTAAAGACTCATTCGGGTAAATCTTCATATTTCGGAGCCCTACATGGCTTGACCCAACCTTTCCTAGCCCAACTAACTCCACAAGTTAGTTAGCTTGGTTGCCACAAGGGTGCAGAGGTATTGTTCTACGTGCATTAATTCGTTTGAACCCGGTCTAATCGTAGGCATTCTAGACACATTAAGCATTATTTAGCATAGCCATTTTTAGGGTTGTTACATTATCCTCCCCTTAGGAAAATTCGGCGCCGAATGACACTACTAACTATCTAGCGTAATGCCAGTCAGAGCATACCATAAATACTATACACAATCAAGCAATAGCAACAAAGAATGGAGAGATAAGGAAACTTAGACTTAAGAGTAAGAAGTATAACCTCAAGAGCTGAAAAGATGAGGATAATGGGATCTCACATCGGCCTCAGCCTCCCACGTAGCACCCTCAACAAGGTGATTCCTCCACAATACCTTCAATGTGGCAATCTCCTTGTTCCTCAGCCGCTTGACTAGTCTGTCTAAAATCTCAACACGTACCTCCTCATAGGACAAATTTTCATCAACCCCCAAACCTTTGATAGGTAAAACAGATGATGGATCACCTAGGCACTTCTTTATCATAGAGACATGAAAGACTGGATGAACAGAAGCTAGCTCCGCAGGTGATGCCAACTCATAGGCCACCTCACCCACATGTTGTAGGATCTCATATGCCCCAACATACCTCAGACTCAATTTATTTTCCTGCCAATATACTTGGTCACTAACATCAAACTCTAAGGGTCATTTTTTGTTGTCTGCATAAGACTTCTGCCGACTGTAAAAAGTGGCCAACTTGCCCCTAATCACTCTGACCTTCTCTAAGGCCTCATGAATGATCTCTGGACCCAAGATGGATGACTATCCAACCTCGAACCACCCAAATGGAGACCTACATATCCTACCATATAGTTCCTCAAAAGGTGCCATCCAATGCTCGAGCGATAGCTTTAGTAAATGAGAACTCTATCAAAGGCCAATGGTTGTCCCAGCTACCCTTGAAGTCAATCACACACGCCCTCAACATATCCTCCAATGTCTGAATGGTGTGCTATGCCTGCCCATCAGTCAGAGGATGAAAGGCACTACTAAGCTTCACCTGTGTGCCTAAGCTCTTCTGGAAGGATCTCCAGAAATGTGAAGTGAATTGAGCTCCTCTAGCTGAAATGATACACAAAGGAATCCCATGCCATCTCACAATATCATCAATGTAGAGTCTCACATAATCCTCGGCTCTGTAAGTAGACTTCACAGGGATAAAGTGGGTAGACATAGTCATCATGTCCACAATAACCCATACGGAGTCATGCTGTCTCATAGTCTTCAGAAGACCAACCACGAAGTCCATATTAATGGCGTCCCACTTCCATGTTGGAACCTTGATCATCAGAGTAAGACCGCCAAGCTTAAGATGTTCTGCCTTAACATGTTGACAATTAGGACATTTGGCCTCATATTCTGCAATGTCCTTCTTCATGCCATTCCACCAATATATTTCTTAAGATCATGATACATCATGGTGGAACATGGATGTATGGAATATCTTGAACCATAGGCCTCTGAAATAATCCTGGTCCGCAAATCATCTACATCTGGTACACACAGCCTGTCATGGTACCTAAGTAAGTCGCCATCTCCCAAAGCAAAAAATTCATTTATCTTAACCAACAGTGATTCCTTAGCTCCATCAACACAGGATCAAGATGCTGACCTTCCTTGACTTTAACTACTGAGGATGATTCTGAACTAGGATGAACTGAAACACCCCCACTAGTAGAGTCAACTAACCGCACACCGTCTTGCCAGTGTATGTATATCTTTCACCGACTCTTTCTTCTCATCCTCAACGTGGGATGTACTTCCCATGCTCATCCTACTCAAAGCATAAGCTACAACATTAGCCTTACCTGGATGGTAGTGGGCATTCATGTCATAGTCCTTTAACAGCTCCAACCATCTCCGCTGACGTAGATTCAACTCTCTGTGTGAAAACGTGGTGTATACTCTTGTGGTCTATGAACACATCCACATGCACCCCATACAAGTAGTGCCTCCAGAACTTCAGTGCAAACACCACAGTTGCAAACTCCAGATCATGAGTAGGATTAATTCTTTTCATGAACCTTGAGGTGTCTGGATGCATAAGCTATCATTTTACCCCCCTACATAAGAACACAACCCAAACCAACCCTAGATGTATCACAATACACAGTGCAATTCTCACCACACTCAGGCAAAGTAAGCACTGTGGCTGAAGTGAGTCTATCCTTGCTCCTGGAAACTCTTCTCACAAGCCTTTGTCAATTCAAACTTGGCCTTCTTCTTAGTCAAAGCTGTCAGTGATGCAGCAATGAAAGAAAAGCCCTCCACAAACCTACGATAATGACCAGCCAATCCCAAGAAACTACGAATATCTGTGGGAGAAAGAGGTTTTGGACAGTTCTTAACAGCTTCAGTCTTCCTTATGTCTACCTCTACACCTTTGTCGGACACAATATGACCAGGAAGATCACTAATCTAATCCAGAATTCACACTTGCTGAATTTGGCATACAAATGATGTTGTCTAAGTACCTGCAAGGTTAGTCTCAACTGCTGTTTATGTTCTTCCTTGGTCTTAGAGTAGATAAGAATTTCATCAATGAATACTATGACGAAGGAGTCAAGGTATTAACGGAAAATCCTGATCATGAGATCCATAAATGCAACAGGTGCATTTGTGAGACCAAATGTCATAACTAGGAACTCATAATTACCATAACGGGTATGAAAGGCTATCTCTGGGATATCTCCATCCCTAACCCTGAGCTGATGGTAACCTGAATGAAGATCAATCTTCGAGAAGAAACTAGACCCTTGGAGTTGTTCGAACAAGTAATCTATTCTGGGAAGTGGATACTTATTCTTGATAGTGACTTTGTTGAGATATCGATAATCGATACACATTCTAAGGGTTCCATCTTTTTTTTCACAAACAACACTACAGCACCCCAAGGGGACTCGGCTGAATGAAACCCTTATCAGTGAGATCTTTTAACTGCAACTTCAACTCTTTGAGTTTAGGTGGATCCATTCTATAAGGAGGAATTGAAATTGGTTAAGTATTGGGTTCTAAGTCGATACCAAAGTCAATCTCTTGAGGGGGAGGAACTCTACGCAAATCATCCGGAAATACATCTTGGAACTCATTCACTACAGACACTGTCTAAGGAATGTCATGATCTAAATCATTAGCACCCACAAGATGACATAATAACCCCTTGGACATCATTTTATTGGTCTTAAAGTTTGAAATCAAGGGATTAGGACGACTCGAGTTGTACCCCTCCCAGACTAGCTCTTATTCATTAGGGAAACGAAATCTTATAACCCTACTACGACAATCCATACAAGCATAACAACTATGAAGCCAGTCCATACCAAGAATAACATCAAAATCATGCATTGGTAACTCAACCAAGTCTGCACACATAGTATTACCATATAAAACTGTTGGGCAATCAATGTATACTCTCTCAGTACTTATATTCTCTCCGAAAGGCTTACTAACCACTATAGGATCATGCAGAACTTCAGGAAATATCTCAATAATGAGAGCAAGCAAACGAGTTACAAATGAAAGCGTAGACCCTGGATCAAGTAAAGCAAAAACAGAAGTTGAGAATACTTGCAGCATACCTGTGACCACATCAGCGGACTTCTCCTGCTCCTCCTTGCCTTTAAGGGCGTAGATTTTGTTCCTCTTAGGAGGCTTGGCTACTGCTGCATCCTGGGGATTAGGCCTAGGCTGAGCATAAACTCCAGCCTGACCTTTTTTCTATGGGAAGTCCTTAACCATGTGCCCGCTCTTACCGCAACCGAAGCAGGCATTAGAGCCCTGTCTGCAGTCTCTACTGTGAGCACAACCACACTTAGCACATTCCTTTTTGGGACGCTGCATCTCACCTCCATTGACCTTCTTGGGCTTAGGTGTTCCTCATCTAGGTTCTCTACTCATCTGAAAGTTAGAGGTCCCTGAACTCTGTTCCCCCTTTTTAAATCTGGGCTGCTCACGGATGCCAAAGTTGTTCTTGTTGCCCCCATTGCTAGGACCTGCCTGATCATGAGGCTTAGGCCTCCTTGCATCACGAACGCCTCTCTTCTTCCGGTTGTCCTCTACCTGCTGGACATGCACCATCAACCTAGAGAGGTCCATGTTATTGTGGAGCATCGTAGACCAACAATCCTCCAAATATCCGTTGATTCTTGTGAGGAACCTTCTCATCTCATCCATGTTGTTAGATACAAGGGAAATATCATACATGGACAGTTAAACAAACATCGGGGAATACTCCCTGACTATCATGATCCTTGATTAAGATTGATAAAATCCTCAACCTTGGCCTCCCTCATCTTTCTGGGAAAGAATCTCTCCATAAAGGTTGTCTTAAAAAGATCCCAAGTGACCGTAACTGCACCCAAAAGTCATCTATCTTGCCAAATCTTACACCAAGTCTGTACAACATCCTTGAGTTGATAGGAAGACAACTCTACTTTCTCAGTATCTGTGGCCCCCGTAGCCACCAAAATCTTATGCACCTCATCCACAAACTCATAAGGATCCTCTAAAGTTTTAGACCCTGTGAACATAGGAGGATTCATCCTCGTAAGGTTTCTCAGCCTGTAAGCCATATTGTGAACCGGTGGGTTCTCCCTCTGAACATTTTGCCAGTTGACCTGGTCAGCCATGCCCAGGGCCTGCATAGTGATGGCCTGTGCCATCTGGGCCAGAGATGCCCCCACCTCATCATCAGTCAACCTAGCAGGGTTAACCAGCATAGCCACTCTTTCAGCTGGAGTCTGGGGTTAAACCTGATTGCCCCCAGCAGCTGCTCCTCCTCTCCTTTGACCAATAATTCTCCTAGTATTCATTATTTGAAAACAAGAAATATTAATGGTATGCACGCTCATAACACCAAGAAAATCAGGCATTAGGAAAGGCACGATGAGATCAGAAGAAAGGAAATTTTCCTAAGCATCATGCAGTCTCTAATCCAGGATAGCGGTGCACTTCACAACCATGACTTAGAAACTACTCGATGCGGTTGATGTGAAATTATTATCTTCGAAACTTAACCTAGGGATCTGATACCAATTTTGTCACGATCGGAATCTACAACCCGGAAGAGACCGGCGTCGTTGACCTCTCAAAGGTCACAGACAAGCCTGCATACGTCTTCGTTACTTCATCTAGGTCAATTTTTTGCGGAAAGTTTGAAACTTTTTGTTTCTTAACATACATATATACATACTAATTTGCATCATAGGCTTTCACAAATCAACCATCTAATAAAAAGATAATCAAATGAAAGAATCAGTTCATAATTTTATTAAACGTATTTTTGCCAAAACAACACCAATACAAAGTCTGAAAATAGTGGAAAGAAAATAATGGTGGAAAATGCTCCACTAGCTATAGACTACACCTAATGTAGAAAATAATTATAGACATCCTCTAAAGCATGAGGGCCTACTAAGTCTGAATGAAAGCTCCACGTCCGGATAGCTGCAGCGTCCACTTGTAAGCTCTAACGTTCACCTGTGCCTGCACCTAAAATTGTAGAATTGTATGGGATTAGTACACACTTTTGTACTAAGTATGGGTATATGCAAGCTCACACCAAGGACATGCATGAGTAAGAACATCTCTTTCCTAACAACATGATTACAGAAAGTAAAGTCAGTCGAATTGCCAAAATGGGATTAAGAAAGTTAGTGTGCTTTCTAAATTTGGATTAGGAAAGTCATGCCATGATAGTAAAATGCATCATTATACTTATTATATTTCACACAACACATAACATCTTGCACATAGCACATAACATATTTCATATAGCGTATAACATCTTTCATGACGTTCATTCATATGCCATAAGACCTTGGAATCATGGTCTTGACATTAAGACTTTCCACAAATGAGGGCTCAACATGTGGGACCTCAACTTGGGAGCCTTCTTTAGCAAACACAGAGTCTGCTTCATTCATTCATACGTGCTTCACTTCATTTCATTCATAGGCTAGTGTGAACACCAGTTGTACCTAGGATGTAGTTTAACACTTTCATCGGGTTCGCTGTGCAATGATCAAGAATGACCTAGTGTCATTACTTAGGTCTAGCTCACCTCTTGATTATCCTAACCTAACACCTTGGGTATCATTCATTTCATTGTGTACATCATTTGAGGCTGGCCTCATTCATTCATGGGGAACTTTAACTTTAAACGACATAGATCATGTGAGCATCATGAATTCCTGTGTATCCCCCACACTTAAAAGAAGTGGAATCACCGGACAAAGTGACCCAAAACATGCTAGCGTACATGGTAATTAAACCCCGCCAGATCCCTATACTAGAAGTATAGGTTTGAACACTAGGAGATATAAGGAGAACCATACTTGGCATGAAAGACAGCCTCATCTGATGAGAGTTTCGTGAACCTCCGCCTTTCCCGAAAGAAGGCATCACCAATTATAGTAGTCTATCAGTGCTAAGTATAAAATTCCGTTACATACAACTCATACTTCATGGAAGTTGGCTTCTAGTATGAGGACATTATAGCTCAATAAATGATTTCTCATCTTATCACTATTATTATGTGTATATTAATCTCAATACTTTCATTAGAGTGTTAATAGAGACTAGTCTCTTCATAAACTATACACTCTCATAGGTGAGTACGTTTTGGTAACATTTACTTAGGCTCATTTGAGATTGCACTCATCTTTTACATTATCCCCTTATCATGTTGCCACCACATTCCTTAACATTAGCACATTTTTATTCATCATTACTCACCCCTTATTACGTGAATGTTCATCTCATCATATGCCAATGCACTTGGTTACTTAACCTTTTTAGGGTTTCATCATTTCATTACATAAAGCTTACGTTCACTTAATTTTAAACGTATACTAGACTTATGGGTATAGCCCTAAGGCTTCATTCGTAGTTCGTTTAGGTGATTCACATCTTCCTAAGATTATGTGGTTCAAGAATTATGCATCCTGTATATATGCCAAGATCTCGGTTTCGATCTGTAACATTCCAGAATATCATATGTCTAATGAAGAGCCAGTATGCCCTTAGGATAGCCTATTAGGTATAAAATAAGCACCCGAATTCCCATTATTGAGCGCATAGTATAGAAAAATTGGCTAAGGGATATTAGCCATTTTTCAATGTATGAATAAAAAATATAATTTTTGGGTTTTCATACCCCTATGCAAGATTGATGTTCAATAAATGTACCTGCAATGAAGATCCTAAGATAAAACAAAATCCGTAATGAATAGTTTCATACAAAGTACTAGGCATCCAAGTGTAAAGCCTAGTACCATTCCACATGACCATTTAAAATGATCATGTAAATTAAGATTGCCCAATGACATAGTGAGGGTCCTTGGGATAATAATTAAATATTTCTAAATGAACCATAAATAATAGTTAGTTAGGAAAGTGCAAGCACATGTGCAAGACATGTGAATAAGCTGCCAAAGGAGGGGACCACCCTAATTGAATTTAGGGGGAAAACGTGCACAAGGGACCACTCCATGTGGGGCCTAACCTCCATACCAATTCTAGACTCTAACCTACGGCCGTAAATGACTAAATAACCTAGTACTAACCGAATTGGACCCATTAGTGCATCGGACAACCTAGGACCAAAACTGGATTGACACTAACCTAGTACTAGTTAAAGAAACAACCTAGTACCTAACCTAGGATGGTCCAAAAGGTTAGTTATGATCCTATGAACTAAGGGATACTTTATTAATTCCACTAGGTTACCTAATTAATTTATTTATAAAATTAATTAATTAATTTAAAAGGGATAAAACCAAAATTACAAAGGAAATTTTCAGATTTCGGTTAAGACAAGAAAGGGACAACCTGGAACCTAACCTATGATGGTCCAAAGAGTAAGTTAAGGTCTTAAAAACTTAGGTATACTTTAGTAAGTACCCTAGTATACTTAATAAATCAATTTAGAAGCTTAATTAATTAATTTGAAGGGTCAAAACCAAAATCACAATGAAGTTTCCAGATTTCGATTGAGACAAGAAAAAGACAACTTAATATTTAATCTAGGATGGTTCAAAGGATTAGTTATCGTTATAACGAATTAAGGGTACTTTAATAATAACCCTAGGTTACTTAATTTATTAAATTATCTCTTTTATTAATTAAATTAAAGGGGTAAAACCAAAATTCTTATGCTAACCTAATATAATGCAATAAACATCCTAGTACTTAACCTAGGATGGTCCTAAAGGGTTTATTATGGTTCCAATGACATAGATGTACTTTAGTACTTACCCTAGGTCCCTAAATTAAGTAAATTGAGGATTTAATTAATTACTATAAAGTCAAAATTTTGAACTAAACCATAGTCAACACCAAAATTTCAGATTTTAGGTCAAGTCAACATTCTCCTATGTTTAGTCAACTTAGGAGGGTTTTTTAGTAATTAGTTGATTAATTTATTTAATCAAATTATTAAAAACTAAGTTTAATAAGTCAAAGTAAGTTCCTAAACCTAAAAACCATGTTCAAATTCAAACAAATACACGACTAAAACCATAAAACAAGTGTGAGGAAAAACAGTGAACAAAATGCAAAAAAAAGTAGAAAAATTCATAGACGATTTTCAAGGTTTCTTCAAGGTTCGTTCAAGGTGGTCTTTGTAAATTAAGTTCTACTTAAGGTATGGGTTTTTCTCCTGGATTTGAATGATTCAAAGATCTTGAAAACTAGGGTTGTTTCTCGTCGTTCTTGTCGAACTCCTTTCCCTAGTATCCTTGTCACAATTTCAATGTTGAATAGGTTAGAAATCATGTTGTTGGTATGTGGAGCTGGCTGTTATTAGCATGTATTATTCTTTAATGATGAGTATCGAATGAACTTATGAACT